CAGCTGGGTGATTCAGGGCCAATCACCAGGAGACGGTGAGTTCTAGTCCTGCCTTAGGCATGAAAGCCAGCTGGGTGACTTTGGGCCAATCACCAGGAGACAGGGAGTTCTAGTACTGCTTTAGCCAGGAAAGCCAGCTGGGTGATTCAGGGCCAATCACCAGGAGACGGTGAGTTCTAGTCCTGCCTTAGGCATGAAAGCCAGCTGGGTGACTTTGGGCCAATCACCAGGAGACGGTGAGTTCTAGTACTGCTTTAGCCAGGAAAGCCAGCTGGGTGATTCAGGGCCAATCACCAGGAGACAGGGAGTTCTAGTCCTGCCTTAGGCATGAAAGCCAGCTGGGTGACTTTGGGCCAATCACCAGGAGACGGTGAGTTCTAGTACTGCTTTAGCCAGGAAAGCCAGCTGGGTGATTCAGGGCCAATCACCAGGAGACGGTGAGTTCTAGTCCTGCCTTAGGCATGAAAGCCAGCTGGGTGACTTTGGGCCAATCACCAGGAGACGGTGAGTTCTAGTACTGCTTTAGCCAGGAAAGCCAGCTGGGTGATTCAGGGCCAATCACCAGGAGACAGGGAGTTCTAGTCCTGCCTTAGGCATGAAAGCAAGCTGGGTGACTTTGGGCCAATCACCAGGAGACAGGGAGTTCTAGTACTGCTTTAGCCAGGAAAGCCAGCTGGGTGATTCAGGGCCAATCACCAGGAGACGGTGAGTTCTAGTCCTGCCTTAGGCATGAAAGCCAGCTGGGTGACTTTGGACCAATCACCAGGAGACGGTGAGTTCTAGTACTGCTTTAGCCAGGAAAGCCAGCTGGGTGATTCAGGGCCAATCACCAGGAGACGGTGAGTTCTAGTCCTGCCTTAGGCATGAAAGCCAGCTGGGTGACTTTGGGCCAATCACCAGGAGACAGGGAGTTCTAGTCCCGCCTTAGGCATGAAAACCAGCTGGGTGACTTTGGGCCAATCACCAGGAGACAGGGAGTTCTAGTCCCGCCTTAGGCATGAAAGCCAGCTGGGTGACTTTGGCCAATCACCAGGAGACGGTGAGTTCTAGTACTGCTTTAGCCAGGAAAGCCAGCTGGGTGATTCAGGGCCAATCACCAGGAGACAGGGAGTTCTAGTCCTGCCTTAGGCATGAAAGCCAGCTGGGTGACTTTGGGCCAATCACCAGGAGACGGTGAGTTCTAGTACTGCTTTAGCCAGGAAAGCCAGCTGGGTGATTCAGGGCCAATCACCAGGAGACGGTGAGTTCTAGTCCTGCCTTAGGCATGAAAGCCAGCTGGGTGACTTTGGGCCAATCACCAGGAGACGGTGAGTTCTAGTACTGCTTTAGCCAGGAAAGCCAGCTGGGTGACTTTGGGCCAATCACCAGGAGACAGGGAGTTCTAGTCCCGCCTTAGGCATGAAAACCAGCTGGTGACTTTGGGCCAATCACCAGGAGACAGGGAGTTCTAGTACTGCTTTAGCCAGGAAAGCCAGCTGGGTGATTCAGGGCCAATCACCAGGAGACGGTGAGTTCTAGTCCTGCCTTAGGCATGAAAGCCAGCTGGGTGACTTTGGACCAATCACCAGGAGACGGTGAGTTCTAGTACTGCTTTAGCCAGGAAAGCCAGCTGGGTGATTCAGGGCCAATCACCAGGAGACGGTGAGTTCTAGTCCTGCCTTAGGCATGAAAGCCAGCTGGGTGACTTTGGGCCAATCACCAGGAGACAGGGAGTTCTAGTCCCGCCTTAGGCATGAAAACCAGCTGGGTGACTTTGGGCCAATCACCAGGAGACAGGGAGTTCTAGTCCCGCCTTAGGCATGAAAGCCAGCTGGGTGACTTTGGGCCAATCACCAGGAGACGGTGAGTTCTAGTACTGCTTTAGCCAGGAAAGCCAGCTGGGTGATTCAGGGCCAATCACCAGGAGACGGTGAGTTCTAGTCCTGCCTTAGGCATGAAAGCCAGCTGGGTGACTTTGGGCCAATCACCAGGAGACGGTGAGTTCTAGTACTGCTTTAGCCAGGAAAGCCAGCTGGGTGATTCAGGGCCAATCACCAGGAGACAGGGAGTTCTAGTCCTGCCTTAGGCATGAAAGCCAGCTGGGTGACTTTGGGCCAATCACCAGGAGACAGTGAGTTCTAGTACTGCTTTAGCCAGGAAAGCCAGCTGGGTGATTCAGGGCCAATCACCAGGAGACGGTGAGTTCTAGTCCTGCCTTAGGCATGAAAGCCAGCTGGGTGACTTTGGGCCAATCACCAGGAGACGGTGAGTTCTAGTACTGCTTTAGCCAGGAAAGCCAGCTGGGTGATTCAGGGCCAATCACCAGGAGACAGGGAGTTCTAGTCCTGCCTTAGGCATGAAAGCCAGCTGGGTGACTTTGGGCCAATCACCAGGAGACGGTGAGTTCTAGTACTGCTTTAGCCAGGAAAGCCAGCTGGGTGATTCAGGGCCAATCACCAGGAGACGGTGAGTTCTAGTCCTGCCTTAGGCATGAAAGCCAGCTGGGTGACTTTGGGCCAATCACCAGGAGACGGTGAGTTCTAGTACTGCTTTAGCCAGGAAAGCCAGCTGGGTGATTCAGGGCCAATCACCAGGAGACAGGGAGTTCTAGTCCTGCCTTAGGCATGAAAGCCAGCTGGGTGACTTTGGGCCAATCACCAGGAGACAGGGAGTTCTAGTACTGCTTTAGCCAGGAAAGCCAGCTGGGTGATTCAGGGCCAATCACCAGGAGACGGTGAGTTCTAGTCCTGCCTTAGGCATGAAAGCCAGCTGGGTGACTTTGGACCAATCACCAGGAGACGGTGAGTTCTAGTACTGCTTTAGCCAGGAAAGCCAGCTGGGTGATTCAGGGCCAATCACCAGGAGACGGTGAGTTCTAGTCCTGCCTTAGGCATGAAAGCCAGCTGGGTGACTTTGGGCCAATCACCAGGAGACAGGGAGTTCTAGTCCCGCCTTAGGCATGAAAACCAGCTGGGTGACTTTGGGCCAATCACCAGGAGACAGGGAGTTCTAGTCCCGCCTTAGGCATGAAAGCCAGCTGGGTGACTTTGGGCCAATCACCAGGAGACGGTGAGTTCTAGTACTGCTTTAGCCAGGAAAGCCAGCTGGGTGATTCAGGGCCAATCACCAGGAGACAGGGAGTTCTAGTCCTGCCTTAGGCATGAAAGCCAGCTGGGTGACTTTGGGCCAATCACCAGGAGACGGTGAGTTCTAGTACTGCTTTAGCCAGGAAAGCCAGCTGGGTGATTCAGGGCCAATCACCAGGAGACGGTGAGTTCTAGTCCTGCCTTAGGCATGAAAGCCAGCTGGGTGACTTTGGGCCAATCACCAGGAGACGGTGAGTTCTAGTACTGCTTTAGCCAGGAAAGCCAGCTGGGTGATTCAGGGCCAATCACCAGGAGACAGGGAGTTCTAGTCCTGCCTTAGGCATGAAAGCCAGCTGGGTGACTTTGGGCCAATCACCAGGAGACAGGGAGTTCTAGTACTGCTTTAGCCAGGAAAGCCAGCTGGGTGATTCAGGGCCAATCACCAGGAGACGGTGAGTTCTAGTCCTGCCTTAGGCATGAAAGCCAGCTGGGTGACTTTGGGCCAATCACCAGGAGACGGTGAGTTCTAGTACTGCTTTAGCCAGGAAAGCCAGCTGGGTGATTCAGGGCCAATCACCAGGAGACGGTGAGTTCTAGTCCCGCCTTAGGCATGAAAGCCAGCTGGGTGACTTTGGGCCAATCACCAGGAGACGGTGAGTTCTAGTACTGCTTTAGCCAGGAAAGCCAGCTGGGTGATTCAGGGCCAATCACCAGGAGACGGTGAGTTCTAGTCCTGCCTTAGGCATGAAAGCCAGCTGGGTGACCTCAGCAGCCAATCAGTATCGAGGGGCGGTTTTCTACCCTACTAGAGTTCTGTAATGGAGAAACCAGTAGGGTTTTTTTTTTTTTAATCCTCTCCCCCCACCCCCCACCCCACCAGCCTCTCTGGCCACCCAACTCTTTTTCTTGGAGGTCTGGAGACTGGAAAACAGTACATGTATTCCTCGACTTACAACCATTTATTTAGTGACCGTTCAAAGCTGCAACGGCACCGAAAAAGGTTACTTGTGACCGATTTTCACACTTATGACCATTGCAGCAGCCCCAACATCACGTGATCAAAATTCAGACGCTTGGCAACGGGTTCCTATTTATGACGGTTACGGCGTCCCATGGTCATGTGATCCTCTTTTGTGATCTTCTGACAAGCAGTGGGGAATTCACTTAATGACCATGTGATTCACTTAACAACTTCAGTGAAAGCATGAAAGGCACAAAAGCCACCTGGGTGACTTTGGGCCTATCACCAGGAGACGGTGAGTTCTAGTCCTCCCTTAGAAATAAAAGCCGGCTGGGTGACTTTGGGCCAATCACCAGGAGACAGGGAGTTCTAGTCCCGCCTTAGGCATGAAAACCAGCTGGGTGACTTTGGGCCAATCACCAGGAGACGGTGAGTTCTAGTACTGCTTTAGCCAGGAAAGCCAGCTGGGTGATTCAGGGCCAATCACCAGGAGACGGTGAGTTCTAGTCCTGCCTTAGGCATGAAAGCCAGCTGGGTGACTTTGGGCCAATCACCAGGAGACAGGGAGTTCTAGTACTGCTTTAGCCAGGAAAGCCAGCTGGGTGACTTTGGGCCAATCACCAGGAGACAGGGAGTTCTAGTACTGCTTTAGCCAGGAAAGCCAGCTGGGTGACTTTGGGCCAATCACCAGGAGACGGTGAGATCTAGTCCTCTCTTAGGCATGAAATCCAGCTGCGTAATTTGAGGTAAATCGGAGGATGATTCAATACTTTCGCTACCTTGAGTTTTTGATAAAAATAATAAGGGTGGGAAAGAAAGAAAGAAAGAAAGAAAGAAAGAAAGAAAGAAAGAAAGAAAGAAAGCAAGAAAGAAAGAAAGAAAGAAAGAAAGCTTTGCAAGATTGGCCCATCGGATTTAGGGATGCTCTTTGGATGATTCATCCCAATTTCCTTTCTCCCACCCCTCCCCCCCAGGTTGACGGGCAACGAGCCTCTGACCATCCTCCCTCTGACCACGGAAATGGAGGAAGCAGCCATCAAAGCCCACTACAAAGTCTGCGACCGTTTGAAGCTGGAAAAGAAACAGCGCCGGATGTGTCGGAGAGACCCTGGCGTGGCGGAGACCCTCATGGAAGCCATCAGCATGAGCGCCCTGGAATGCCAGTACCAGTTCCGCTTCGAGAGGTGGAATTGCAGCCTGGAAGGCCGCTTCAGAGCCAGCCTGCTGAAGAGAGGTTAGTGGAGGAGGAGGGCAGGCAGTCCTCAACTTATGACCGGAGGAGGAGTAGGAGGACTGTAGGGGTCCTTGGTGCTCTCAGACCTTGGGGATTTCCTTGCAGACCTTTCAGGACCCAACTAGGCAACATCATCAGTGTTAGAAGGGAGTGGGGTATGTGGAGAGGAGGAGTGGAAGAGGAAGAAGAAGATGACAGAAGATGCAGGGTCCTTGGTTTCCTTGCAGACATTTCATGGTCTAACTAGCTAATATCATCAGGGCAGGAAGGGAGTATGGTTTGCAGGGAGGAGGAGGAGGAGGTGGAAGAGGAGGAAGAAGAGGAAGAAGAAAGAAAAGGGAAGAAGAGCAAGAGCAAGAGGAGGAGGAGGAAAAGGAGGAAGAAAAAGCAGAGAAGAAGGAGGGGAAGAAGAGGAGGAAGAGGAAGAGGAGGAGGAGGAAGAAGAAGGAGGAGGAGGAGAAGGAGAAGAAGAAGAAGAAGAAGAAGAAGAAGAAGAAGAAGAAGAAGAAAGAAGAAGAAGAAGAAGAAGAAGAAGAAGAAGAAGAAGAAGAAGAAGAAGAAGAAGGGTCCTTGGTTTTCTTGCAGACATTTCATGGTCCAAAGTATGGTTTACAAGGAGGAGGAAGGGGAGGAGGAGGAGGGGGGAAAGGAGGAGGAGGAGGAGGGGGAAGACAAGGAAGTAGAGAAGAAGAAAGAAGAAAAGGGAAGAGGCAGAGGAGGAAATAGAAGAAGTAGAAGAGGAGAAGGAGAAGGAGAAGAAGCAAAAGGAAAAGGAGGAGAAGGGGAAGGGGAAGCATAACCAAAAGAAAAGAGGAGAAGAAGAAGAAGAAGAAGAAGAAGAAGAAGAAGAAGAAGAAGAAGAAGAAGAAGAAGAAGAAGAAGAAGAAGAGAGGAGGAGGAGGAGGAGGAGGAGGAGGAGGAGGAGGAGGAGACTGGTAGCTAATATCATCAGGGCAGGAAGGGAGTATGGTTTGCAGGGAGGAGGAGGAGGAAGACGAGGAAGACAAGGAAAAAGAGGAAGAAGAACAGGAAGAAGGAAGAAGAAGCAGAAGAGGAGGAGGAAGAGGTTTGTAGAGAGGAGGAGGAGGAGGAGGAGGAGGAGAGTTGTGGGGACCTTGATGGTCTCTGAACTTGGTTGTTTCCTTGCAAAAATTTCATGACCCAGTTTGGTAACGTTATCAGTGCTAATGAGTGTATTGTTTTATCCTATTTACCTATAGTAGGTTGCTCTGCCAATGTTGGCAGAGGTGTGATTTTTTCCTTGGGAGTTCCTTGATTAGGATATGCTTTTCTGCTTGATAGTTTGTCTGGTGTTAATCCCTGCTTATCTGGGTTTCTCTTTCTGTGGGGTCCTTAGTGTTCCCTGAACTTGGTGGTTTTCTTGCTCACATTTCATGACTCAACTATGGAAGATCATCAGTGCTAGAGGCGGGAGGAGGAGGAGGAGAAAGAGGAAGGGAAGGAGGGAGTGGGGGGAGGGGAGGATTGGGGAAGTCTTTAGTGTTCTCTGCGCTTGGTGGTTTTCTTGCAGATATTTCGGGGCTCAACTAGGTAACATCATAAGTGCTAGAAATGAGGGGAAGGGATTCTCTCTGTTTATATAGGTAGTCCTTGATTTACAACTATTCATTTAATGACCATCTGAAGTTACAACCAACCCCAAAAAGGGGATTTATGACATGGATTCCAACCTCTCTGCAGTCCTGTATCTGAACTTTGTGTACAAAGTTCTCTGCCATTTTTAGCAGCCCGCGGTCATCGTCTCTCTTGCTAAAAATTGACATGTCTAGTTTTCAGCAAATTTGCATCCTTTGCTGCATTTAACAGCCTGCTACAAAAAAGCTACAAAATGTTTTAACCTGTTTTAGGACTGCTACAACAAATGACTGTAATGGGAAGACTTGATTACAGTCGTTTGATGAGGACAACCTGTAATCAAGAGCTTCTTGACTTTGGCTAACACTAGCCAGGGAATTCTGGGAACTGAAGTCCATCCATCTCCAAGCAAGCTGGCTGAGGCATTCTGGGAGTTGAAGTTCACCCATCTTCAATTGCTGGCTGGGGAATTCTGGGAGTTGAAGTCCACCCATCTTCAAGCTTGCTGGCTGGGGAATTCTGGGAGTTGAAGTCCACCCATCTTCAAGCTTGCTGGCTGAGGCATTCTGGGAATTGAAGTTCACATCTTCAAGCTTGCTGGCTGGGGAATTCTGGGAGTTGAAGTCCATCCATCTTCAAGCTTGCTGGCTGGGGAATTCTGGGAGTTGAAGTCCACCCCTCTTAAAGCTTGCTGGCTGAGGCATTCTGGGAGTTGAAGTTCACCTATCTTCAAGCTTGCTGGCTGGGGAATTCTGGGAGTTGAAATCTGCCTGTCTTCAAACACGCTGGCTGAGGAATTCTGGGAGTTGAAGTCCACCCATCTTCAAGCTTTGCTGGCTGAGGAATTCTGGCAACTGAAGTCCATCCATCTCAAAATTGTCAGGGCTGGGCGATACCCCTCTAAGAGAGAAGTTCGGTGTGCTAACAGCATTGTCATCTTCCTCCACAGGGTTTAAGGAAACTGCCTTCCTTTACGCCATCTCTTCGGCGGGGCTGACCCACGCCATGGCCAAAGCCTGCAGTGCCGGACGTATGGAGCGCTGCACTTGCGACGAGGCCCCCGACCTGGAGAACCGCGAAGCGTGGCAGTGGGGCGGATGTGGGGACAATCTCAAATACAGCAACAAGTTTGTTAAAGAGTTCCTTGGGAAGAAGTCCAACAAGGATCTACGAGCTCGGGTGGATTTCCACAACAATTTGGTGGGGATGAAGGTAAGTGCTCACGATGGTTGTAGGCTGTAGCTGTGGAGAAGTAGGTCCTTGAGGGACTGGAGAAGACTGCTAGGTAAAGATTGTTGAGGGCCACCCAAAAATCTAGGTGGAGGAAAGATTGGCCGAGCAGCCTGCTATCATGAAAGGGCAGGAGAAAGGAACGTTGGAAGACATGGCCATGTTCATGATTCTTCATTCAGCTCTTCTTGATCAAAGATGTGCTTTCAAGTCAGTGTTGACTCTTGGCAAGTACCTAGTCAGATTTTCTCCAGGCACACCCATGGCTACTGCCATGGAGCCCTCCTCCTCTTCCTCTTCTCCTCCTTCTCCTTTTCCTTCTTTCTCTTCTTCCTCTTCTCCTCTTTCTCCTTCTCCTCCTCCTCCTCTTCCTCCTCCTCCTCTTCTTCTCCCTCTCCTTCCTCTTCTTCTTCTCCTTCTCCTTCTCCTCCTTCTCCTTCTCCTTCTTCTCATCCTCCTCTTCCTCTTCCTCCTCTTCCTCATCTCTCTCTTTCCTCTTCCTCTCCTCCTCCTCCTCCTCTTCCCCTTCCTCTCCTTCCTCTTCCTCTCCTTCTCCTTCTTTCTCCTTCTCCTTCTTCTCCTTCTCCTTCTCCTCCTCTTCTCCTCCTCCTTTCTCCTTCTCCTCCTCCTCTTCCCCTTCCTCCTTCTCCTTCTCCTTCCCACCTCCTTCCCCCTTCCCCCTTCTTCTTCTCCTCTTCTTCTCTTCCTCCTCCAGCTCCCCAGCTTGCTTCCATCAAGCAAATTCAATGGGGAACTCCAACTCACTTAAGGATTGTGTGATTCCCTTAACAATTGCAGTGATTTGTTTAATGCCAGTAGTAAAAAAGAAGGTCATAAAATCAGATGGATCTCACTTCACCAACATCTGGTTTCGCGTGGGAATTCTGCTTCCATTGTGGTCATAAATCAAGGACCAGGTCTGGTACCTATGTAAATGTATGACTGTGATTTTCTCATCTGGTGTTGAAATGGCTAAATACAAGGACATCCTACAGTCTGCAGGAGTTCCTGCCATTACTTTATGGAAGAAACTTATATTAACCATAAATACTGCAGCGAGCCTTGATTGTTGAAATAATCCTTGATTTACGACCACAATTGACCCTAAAATTCCTGTTGCTGAGACAGTTGTTAAGTGAGTTTTGCCCCATTTTATGAACCTTTCTTGCCACAGTTGTTAAGTGAAACACTGTGGTTGCTAAATTAGTCACACGGTTGTTAATTGAATGGGTTTCTCTCTTGACTTTGCTTGTTAGAAGGTCGTAAAAGGAGATCACGTGACCCTGGGACCGTCATAAATATGAGTCAGTTACCAAGAGTCTCAGTTTTTATCATGTGACCACAAGGATGCTGCAGAGGTTGTAAATGTGAAAAAAATGGCCCTAGGTCCTTTTTTAACTTCAGACGGTCACTAAATGAATCATTGTAAGTCAAACACTACTACCTACCTGTTTTTTTGTTTGGGGGCCCTGCGTTCAGCTCCACGCTTGAAGCCCACCCAATTTACAATTTCCTCCCCTGAAAACTCAGCTCTTCTCGGGATTAAAGAATTTAGCAACGCTCCAGAGAGACTGAGTTAAAAATGTCAATTTTAATTAAGCTTAGCAGAAACCCCCAGGGGGGAGCCTTTTTTTCCCTTTTTAATTAAAGCTTTTTCTGAACTTCGAGTCTGCTAGAAGACGGTATTTTAATGTACTCGAATTTTCATGAAGGGTGTACCAAAAGAGAATGTGATCGAGAAAGGGGGAACGGAGGGGAGAAAAAAAAAAGGAATTACAGCAAGAAAAGGAAGAAAGAAAGAAAAAATGCAGAGAAGACCCAAAAGTGCTTTTTTGAAGAGGCAACTGAACTTTCTGGTTTTTCCTTTGAAGATGTTTCGCTTCTCAGCCAAGAAGCTTCTTCAGCTCTGACTGGATGGAGGGGAATGGAAGGATTGATACTCCTTGCAGACATTTGCATCCTTTTTAGAGAGTCATTGAGGCTGCTTGGAGGCTTATCTGTGTCCTCAGGGTCACCCGAGTGGTGCAAATGATTGTGGAACAAAAGGACTATGCAATTCCAAGGAGGCTCCACACCCATTTGCACTACTCAGTCGATCCTGAGGACACAGAGAAACCTCCAAGTGGCCTCAATGACTCTCTAAAAGGATGCAAATGAACCAGCTTTGTCTGCAAGGAGTATCAATCCTTCCATTCTCTACCATCCAGTCAGAGCCGAAGAAGCTTCTGGGATGAGAAGCGAAACATCTTCAATGAAAAAACAAAAACTCTGATTGCCTCTTGAAAAAGCACCTTTGGGACAAGCATGATTTGGATGACTAAGTATCTCCAAAGACTTTTAGCAATCAAGAGAAGAGCAACAAAGTTGATCAGAGGGCTGGAGGCTAAAAAACACGAAGAAAACAATTGCAGGAACCGGGTATGTCTAGTTTAATGAAAAGGAGGGCTAGGGGGTGATATGACAGCATCTGAGGGGTTGCCACAAGAAAGAGGAAAGGGTCAACTTATTTTCCAAAGCATCTAAAGGAGAAGAAGAAGCAACGGATGGAAACTAACCAAGGAGAGAAGCAACCTAGAACTAAGGAGAAACTTCCTAAATATGAACAATTAACCAGTGGAACGACTTCCTTCCAGAACTTGTGGATGCTCCATCACTCAAGATTTTCAAGAAGAGATCGAACAATCATTTGTCTGAAATATTATAGGGTCTCCTGCTTGAGCAGGGGGTTGGACTAGAAGACCTCCGAGGTCCCTTCCAACTCTGTTATTTTGTTATTCTGAATAAAATAGAAAACAATCACTGGGTTTCATATCACTCGTGTCTCGTTCTTCCTCCTGTTTAATCCCTTCTTCTCCTGCCCCGAACGGCTCCAATGTAAAGAGGAAAAATTGCTTTTTTAAAAAAATCTGATCCTTATAACAAAGCCACCTCTCCCACCCCCCAATTCCCCACCGCGATACCCCTTAAAGGAAGCAAAAGTTTTGCAGAAGTCCTGCTAACTAATTAGCTCATGTTGCATGCCAGATAAACTGGTCTTGGCACTGGGAGTTGAAATGCATACCATAAAGAGATTGGGGGGGGGGGTTAATCTGCTCGCTGCCAACTTGCCATCTGAGACCAAGAATGTTGCAAAAAAAAACAACCCAAAAAAATCGGAGAAGTCTGGAGGAATCTATCCAGACATTTCTTGCAGCATTTGGTGAAACATTGCCTCTCAGGAAAGTTCCATTATCCAAAGAAGATTTTAACATTGCCGAAATTCAGAAGCAAACCTCATCCAGAAGAAACAAAACAATACAGGGAATCCTCGACTTACGGCCATTTCTTCAAAGTTACAACGGTGTTGGATAAAGGGACCGTTCACACTTACAACCGTTGCAGCCATTCCTGTGGCCACGTGATCAGAATTCGGATGTTTGGCACAATTGACTTGTATTTACGATGCTCCTGGGGGTGGGATGGAGGGGAGGTCACGTGACCCCCCCTTTTGACAAGCAATGTCAGTGGGGAAGCCAGATTCACTTAACAACTGCGTGACTAACTTAACAACCGAAATGATTCATTTAGCAACCCTGGCGAAGAAAGGTCGTAAAACGTGGGAAAAGTTCACTTAATCATTGTCACGCTTAGCAATAGAGATTTTGGGCTCAAATGTGGTTGAGAAAGGTGCCGCATTTGCTCGTTTCTGATCTAGTCCAATCCCAATTTTAGGTCAAAATCCACACCCGCATTTAAGCCTCCTGGAGTCACCAATGTGTAATGGGATGGCTATGTACAATTGTTTAATAAATACATGAAAAGTTTTGGAAAACTTAAGCCAGGGAATTGGGCACCGACTTCCAATTTTTGGAAAGAGTGCCGAAGGGCTTGGTTGGCTGATAACGTGGAACAGAATAGGTAGTCCACAAATTATGATTGGTTGTTTAGTGATCTTTCAAAGTTATAATAGAACCCCCCCAAAAGATACAAGATTTGAAGTTATGTTGTGGAGCCTTGGAATAGATTGGCAATCAGTCTCTCTCTCTCTTTCTCTCTCTCTCTCTCTTTCTTTCCTTCCTCTTCTTTTTTCCTTCCTTCCTCTTTGTTTTCCTCCCTCCCTCCCTTCTTTCTCTCTCCTTCCTTCCTTCCTTCCTCTTTGTTTTCCTTCCTTCCTCCCTTCTCTCTCTCCCCCCTTCCTTCCTTTCTTTCCTTCCTTCCTCTTTGTTTTCCTCCCTCCCTCCCTTCTCTCTCTCCTTCCTTCCTTCCTTCCTTCCTTCCTTCCTTCCTTCCTTCCTTCCTTCCTCTTTGTTTTCCTCCCTCCCTCCCTTCTCTCTCTCTCTCTCTCCCCTTCCTTCCTTCCTTCCTTCCTTCCTTCCTTCCTTCCTTCCTTCCTTCCTTCCTTCCTTCCTTCCTTCCTTCCTGTCTGCCTTTCACCATTCATCTTGAAACAAAACAACTCCAGGTGGTTTTATAACTGTTTGCGGCATCCTGTCATCACTTGACCCTGATTTACGATGCGTTTTTTTTGCTGGAAATTGATGTTTACCCCATGAATCAGTGTGGAGTGTGGAAACCGTGGATTTGCTTAACAACCAGGTTGATTCGCTTTATGACCACTGCAAAAAATGTCATGGAATCAGGTTGGCCTGTTTAACAAGCGGTACCACTTAGGACCCTAATTTTAGGCTCAATTACAGCCATAGGGCCTACGTATGTATCTGCCATCGTAAGCATTTGATGCCGTGAGACATTTTTGTCCCGGCTTGTCTTTCAGAAATTCTTTTGGTGTTTGTTTTTTTTCTCTCCGCAGGTCATCAAAGTTGGAGTGGAGACCACTTGTAAATGCCACGGGGTTTCCGGCTCGTGCACCGTACGGACGTGTTGGCGCCAGCTCTCCCCGTTCCACGAGATCGGCAAGCAGCTCAAGCAGAAATATGAGACGGCCCTCAAAGTGGTGAGCACCACCAACGAGGCCACGGGAGAAGGGGACATCTCCCCACCCAAGAAGTCCATCCTGGGACACGGTGACCAGATCCCCAGAACTACAGATTTGGTTTATCTCGACGATTCCCCGAGCTTTTGCTTAAACAGCCGGTTCTCCTCCGGGACGTCCGGCCGGAAATGTTACAAAGACAAGAACTGCGACAGCATCTGCTGCGGACGGGGACACAACATTCAAAGCCGTGTAGTCACTCGTCCGTGCCAATGTCAAGTCCGCTGGTGCTGTTACGTGGAGTGCAAGCAGTGTACGCAGAGAGAGGAGGTTTACACGTGCAAGGACTGAAGGAGTTGTGTCCGACGAGCCCCAATTTCGGGGACGGATCCTCCTTGCCCCTTTCTTCAAGACAAAAACAAACAAACAAACAAATCCGGGGACCTCCGGCGAGACGGCCGAGCGCGACCCTGACGTGATGGAAGCACTTTGAGGGGGTTCCGTGCCTTGCTGACCCTGCCTCTTTCTCAGCAAAGAGATTTTGGACGCCAGCATCAATGGAAGACCCCTTGCGATGTCCAAGGTGATGGCTCGGAGACCAAGAAGGAATCTTCTCTCTTCTTGACCAGGATGTGAAGGCTGGATAGTCCACCTTTCATGTTTGTTCCCCTCCTGAGAATTCTCTTGGACCTGGATGGTTCCACTTCATTTTGCGAGAGAACTCCTGAAGACCTTCAACTGCAGAAGATGTTCTAGGGAGAAGAAGACCCTAGAATGAGTTTTTTTTTTTAAAAAAAGTAATTTATGGAGCTTCTGGGCACCAGAAAGCCCAAATCAGAAGCCACATCCCATTAAGCTGGTGAGGTCACTACACAAGGACAGATCCTCAACGTTCCTTCTGACAGCTTGTTGTAGCAGATGGTGGTTGGATTTTTTTGGTTTTTTTTTCCTTATTTCCCCCTTGTGTGCCCTCCACCTCTCTTTCTCTGCTCTCCTTTGCAATCCACTTGGTGAATTTGGGAAACCACTAGCGGCAAAAGGAGCCTGCGATCTTCTCAACCGGCATTTTGACTCCTTTGGTGATTTAATTAGGACTTGTTTTTTGTTTGTTCTGCCCTGATTTCTCTTCTTATGACTTCAGTTGGCACCCGAGGCCGCTTCGAAACCAGCGTGACGTCCTGGCTGGGAATGCCATTTGGCACTTGGCCTTCGGAAGACGGAGAAAATGCATCACCTTCGAGACGATGATCCGGCTTTCGATTTTGTTTTTTTCCCACGTCTGGATCACGGCGTCCAAGAATGCGTGTCTCCTGAGGATCGCATTTCACCCGCCTTCCTCCGTGCAGATGATATTCTCTGGGGCCAATTAAAAGCCTGTTTCTTAAAAAAAAAAAAAAAAGAAATTACTTAAACCACTAGAAAGCTGCACGCATTAGATGTAAAACAGCGAGCAGCTGATTCTTATTCCTATAGATTCGAAGGGAAATATATATATATATATATATATATATATATATATATATGGAGAAATATCAAAATGGCAGACTGGATCACTAATACAGGTAGTTCTCGACTTACAACTGTTTAGTGCCATTCAAAGTTAACAACGGCACTGAAAAAAGTGACTTAGGACCATTTTTCATACTTACGACCGTTGCAGCATCCCCAGAGTCACTTGATCAAAATTCAGACGATTGGCAAATGACTCATATTTATGACGGTTGCACTTTCCCGGGGCCACGTGATCCCCTTTTGTGACTTTTTGCCTAGCAAAGTCAATGGGGAAGCATGATTCGCTTAACGACCGCTTTACCAACAACTGCAGTGGTTCACTTAACAACAGTGGCAAGAAAGATCCTAAAATGGGGCAAAACTCCCTTAACAACTGTCTCACTTAACCACATGAATTTTGGGCTCAATTGTAGTCGTACGTTGAGGATTACCTGTACAGATGTGATGGTCAACAGAGCATTCTTCTGTCGTGTGAACTGGGGAATATTACAAATATGCAACTTTTTATTTATTTATTTTGCTTCAAAATGGGATTTGGGTGAACAGCTGATAAATTCCTGGGTGAATTGTCCATGTGTGATGGACAGTGATTTTAAAACTGGTCCAAGAGTTGCATTTCTTTTTTTTTTTTGTCCTGGGGAATTGCAATTTGACCCGTTGGAGGAGCAGAGCAAAAATCTTAGAACATAGAATAACAGAGTTTGAATGTTCATGCACATTCTCATCTGGGAAATCATCCCTCCTCTCAGGCCCAATTTTAGGGGTGTTTTAAACAAAATAATAATAATAGAAACGGTAGCCGCTTCTATCAAAGCTGTCCTTCTTGGGAAATGGATGGATTTGGGGGAGATAGTAACCCAGGGAGATGATGAACGAGATGGTGGCTTGATTTCAAAATTGGTGTGATGGTCCCGAGATGATGTGGGCCGTTTTATGGATTAGAGGAGTGACCAAAACATGGAAGATAGCTCCTAGCTTTGGGACATTGCTTGTAACTGGTATGAAATATCTATGAACTGGTCTCAGGTCTGATAATTTGATAGACCAATCCTGAAGCTACGTGCCCAAAGAATCTCCTTGCCCAACGGACCACCTCGGTAGCTCCGTGCAACGGATTTGCAAAATCCAAACTAAGACTGTAAAAGACTCTTTTATTATTTCAAGGGTGGAATATGAATCTATCTAAGATATATTCCGATGCCTAGATAACTAAATATTGAACGTTTATTTATTAAGCTTTTCAGAAGTTTGTATGGTTTCCATGTGGTATTATGAAACTGGGCCTCTCGTTACGAGCATGCAAGCACTCGTTCCTTCCTCTTTTTTCTTTCTTTTTTTCTTTTTTTTTGCACGCTGGTATTTGAACCCGGATTCCCAAAGGGGCTCTCTAATTTTTTCCAACACTGTAAGGCCTGACCTTTGAGCGAGCTGCAGCCTCATTTTTCTTCCTTTCCTTTTCCCCACCTCTTTCCCTCCCCCCCTTTTTGATCAATGTTATTTGGAAAGGGAGGGTTTCTGAGACTTGGTAGAATCTGTCTGGAAGTCTGTTTTTCATTTAGCTGAGCCCGGCGGTGGGTCCTGTTTTTGAGAAGCACACTTGACGGTCCTGGTTGCTGTTGGAACGGCTCACCTCGAGGGGCTTTGGGGGAGGTTTGGGGGAGACATGGGGAAGGGGGAAAACTGGAGACGTGGAGTTGGTGGAGACCTTGGTGCAAGAGAATTTAGTGGTTCTCTTGAAGACGTTTCATGACCTCATTATGGTTAGCACCGATGATGTAGCCTAGTTGCATCATGAAATGTTTGCAAGAAAACCAAAAGCTCAGACAACAAGGACCCCACAGTCTTCCCCCCTCCACCTCCTTCTGCTCCTCCTCCCACAAACACCTCTTCCCTTTGACACTGATGATGTTCCTTAGTTGGGTCATGAGATATCTGCAAGAAAACCGCCAAGCTTAGAGAGTACCAAGGACCCTACTGTCGTCGTCGTCTTCTTCTTCTTCTTCTTCTTCTTCTTCTTCTTCTTCTTCTTCTTCTTCTTCTTCTTCTTCTTCTTCTTCTCCTGCTTCCCCTTCCCCTTCCCCTTCCCCTTCCCCTTCTCCTTCTTCTTCTTCTTCTTCTTCCTTCTCCTTCCCATCTTAATCTCCTTCCTCCTGCTCCTCTTCACAAACACCACTCCCTTCTAGCACTGATGACATTCCCTAGTTGGGTCATGAAAGGTCTGCAAGAAAACCGCCAAGCTCAGGGAGTGCTAAGGACCTCCCCAATCCTCTTCCTCATCCTCCTCCTCCTCCTCACCCCTCTCCCTTCTAGTACTGATGACGTTCCCTAGTTGGGTCCTGAAACATCTGCAAGAAAAGCCACCAAGCTTAGAGAACATGAAGTTCTCTAAATTCTCCCAGTTCAATCCTGACCAACAAATATCCTTTTATGTTAGTAAATAGACCTTGTTTTGGGCCACATCCTTCATCTCTGGAGAAGAAAGGTAGAAAAGAAGTCCCAAATTCCTTTTTCCCCTTAGTGGGAGTATTCCTGGGCACTTGGCCAACCAGAAATATCCAAAAATGGAAAAATCCTTCTGTACACTCAGACCCTTCTGTCTGTTATTTAAAATTATTTAAAATTATGGAACAATGATGACTTCACTTGCCCACAGCTGCTTCTCAACATTGGGAAATCTTGCTACAGTTTATTATCTGCTTGAAAGTTGGAGAGTAATTTTTCATCTTGGTCACTATCTTAGATACCTGGTCTAAAGATATCTTGAGGAAGAATTTGCAATCTTGCAGGATCTTCAATGCTCATGGGGTTTTAGCATAGTTTGGAGATGACCTTGCTTGATTTTTGAAGGCCATGTCTGAAATACAGGTAGTCCTCGGTTTACATTCGTTTGGTGACCGTTCAAAGTTACGACGGCAATGAAATACGTGACTTATGGCCATTTTTCACAGTTATGACCTTTGCAGCCTGCCTGTGATCATGTGTTTAAAACACATGACGCTTGGCAATTGACTCACTCTTATGACCGCTGCTGTGTCCCAAGGTTAGATCACAAAAGGTGATCTACAAGCAAAGCCAGATTTGTTTAACAACCGGATTACTAATTTAGCAAATGCAGTGATTTCCTTACCGTAACAACTGTGGCAAGAGCAGTCACAAAATGGGGCAAAACTAAAAAAATGTCTCACTTAGCAACAGAAATTTTGGGCTCAATTGTGGTCATAAGTTGAAGACTACCTGTATCGGCCAAGGTTCACTGGAGAATGCTCCCATCTTACCCAGTTAAGGTATTGGTTTAATCTGTTTTGGTGCCATTAACCTTGCATTTAAGTTTGTCCTTCTAACACAATTGTAGTTTGGGATCCCCTTATGAACTTGTTCAAAGGGCAAACAGGCCAACATCTCACCTCAGTCATTATCAGAGTTAGTTTGAGGGGACTGGGTTACAGGGAGATGATGGCTTTCTGTAACTTTCTTTCCCTAAAACCATGTTTCTCAATCTTAGCAACTTTCAAGATGGTTGGACTTCAGTTCCCAGAATTCTAGAATCAGCATGCTGGCAGGGGAATTCTGGGAGTCGAAGTCCACACCCTTTAAAATGGCTAATCCTGAAGCAATTGTACCCCAAAACAAATGGGTCAAACAATTCATTTTAAAATAGATTTTTTTTTTTTACTTTCCCAGGCTTGGGGAGAAACAACCAACTGTTGAAATTCACACAACTTGCTAAACCTAGATCACTGAACACAGCTATTTCTGGTGTGAACTGTAACCAAGTTGGCCAGACAGGCTGAATTTGCACCAACAGCTAAACTAGCATGAAATTAACCACCATGTAAATATGTTCAGGTGCCAGTTGAGCATGTTGTGTGAACCAGGCTGGTGTCACGTTTTTAAAAAGTTCAACTCTGGATTGCCAAAATGAAGCTTACTCTACCCAGTATGTATAAGATTACAGGTAGTTCTCAACTTACAGCGTGACCTTTCAAAGTTATAATGTCCCGGGGTCATGAGATTTGAGGCATATATACATGCATATGTACATTCATACATACATACATA